TTTGAAAACAAGATTTAGTCAAGAACTGAGACTCGTATTTAGACCCTTTAATGGGACCTAATTTCGATCTCTGAGAACCCCTCTGTAAAGTGAAACATGTCATGTAACAATGAGATGATCTAATTGGAATTTATTAAAACCCAAACCAATAGAAGTCCATACGCCCAGTTTTCAAAAATGTCTAATTAAGACATTTTCGTAATCTGAATAGAGTGGCACAGTATCACTGAACCGTCAAGGTACCTTTTCCAGAGTGAAATCCATGTAACCTGAGATATTTCATGCAAATAACTATATCCAGGTTTGTATTCTGCTTGTTGCTGTCTGATTGATCCCAGGCACCCAATAGCTTTGGGTTTGGGTTTCCCCATGACCTTCCTAACTTGCTGACAAAACCAGAGTGTCAGTTGACAGGGGAAATATTTGAATCCAATGATTCAGGCAGCAGTGTAAAGACATAGGGCTGCCCACAGAAAGCACACTTACCCTGTGTTTGCTATGTCCTTTATCCAAAGCCCCTTTACCAAGCGTGCTTCAATAATGTAACACTTGTGTTGCTGTCATCCCTGAGAGATATGAGCAAGCAGCAGCAAACCTTTGAGTTTTCACATGCGCTTTGAAAAGACGAGTAGTCCAGAATGTGCAATTGCTTGTAATTTGGTCATAACATGATAAACTTGCAAAGCTTTCTTACTTTTTGCCTCCTCCTTGTTTCAGTACAGCATGTGCTATTAACCAGCAGCCGTGTTGTACACGTTGTGATCCAACACGTGCTGGCAGTTCCTCGGCAATAAAAGGTAGGAGTTGGTGCTGCAAAAAGGAAAAGCACAACTGAAAACAGATGAATGGTCCATGCTCCTTTAGCGTTGTGTATGTTCTGTCCTTTTCCTATGTGTCCTGCATCGTCAGAAAAAAGGGTGCTTTGGCACTTCACTTGCATTTGTTCAGCCTGGAGAAGAGAAGGATCAGGGGAAACCTTAGAGGAGCTTCCAGTGCTTACAGGGGCTGACAAGAAATCCTAAGAGGGGCTTTTGACAAGGGCAGGTAGGGGCAGGACAAGGGGGAATGGCTTTAAAGTGGCAGAGGGGAGATTTAGATGAGATCTTAGGAAGTTCTTACCTCTGAGGGTGTTGAGGCCCTGGCACAGGTTGCCCAGAGAAGCTGCAGCTGCCCCATCCCTGGCGGTGTTCAAGGCCAGGTTGGGCAGAGCTTGGAGCAATCTGGTCTAGTGGAAGGTGTCCCTGCCTGTGGCAGGGGGCTGGAACTGGGTGAGCTTTAAGGTCCCTTCCAACCCAAAGCAGTCTGTGATTCTATGATTACTCTTCAAATGTAGTTTGCGCATGCGCTCTGCATTATACTGTCTGATCCAGTTACAGCACTGGCTCTGTTCTTTGTTCCCTTTGTTCAGTCCAGAGTTTGCTGGTCTTTCTTCCTGATTTCAAAAGCCGTTTAAATGGGAAGAATTGTAAAAGCTTATCAGCAAGTAGTAACCCTTGTTTCTGGCTCCCCAGCTACATGACACCTTTTGCCGGTGTGAGTGATATCTCGGTGCAGCAGCTCACATTGCCACATCAGCCCTTATTTATGCCAAGGACCTGTTTCCCTCTCCTGTCCTCACCTGTGAGACACTTCTTAAAATCCTATTGACACATCATATCATATCATATCATATCATATCATATCATATCATTCCCAGAAAAATGTCTGGTACCAATCTAATGATGTATCAATTACTCAAGCCAATTACTGAAGCAGCTCATGTTTTTTCACTTGAGTATATTCTGTCAGATGACATGATTCATTCTGATACAGGCAGGGAAAATAGGATCCCAGTATCACTGTTATTTTATTAATTTTCAGGTTTGTTTCCAGAGCCTTGCAATAGCAACAGTGAGGATTTGGATCTAGATAGAAAGTGTCCGAATGGCTTTTTACCTTACTTAAAAGGAGCTGATAAACCAGGCTTAAACAAGGGCACGTTTCTGTTCAGAGACCCTAAAAAAATCTCCCTCTCCCTCTCCCCCCTTTCTTCTGTCCAGTGTCTTCTCCATGGTATGGTGAAAATACCTTTTTCTGCGGCAGCGCTTCACTGAAGGGACTCTGCCAGTTTTCCCCTCAAGACCTAAGTGGAGATTTTCTTGTTTCACATGATAAAGGATGTTTTCTAGCTATATTTTAGCCTGAAGAAATCCTGCAGTAATCTAAGATGGGCAGAAAAGCCCAAGTCAAGGGAGGTGGCGCTTGGGAGTCTAATCCCTGAACTCCTGCGGATTAGAAACAAGTGCCGTGCCAGGGCGATCCAGGCTCTATTCCTGGCCCTTTAAACCCCCCAGCTCCTACGGATCCGCTCTGCGACTGTTTCAGGGGAAAAGCATCAGGCTTGCAGTGTGGCTTAATCACCTTTCCAACCTGTTAAATGGGACGGACTGGTGCAAGGGAAGAAAGGTGCCATTCATTGCTCAGCAGCAAGTGGGTGCTGCTGTGATGGCCAGTTTGAGCAGCCATTACACCAGGTGCATGACACCTGGTGAATTTTTGGCAGTCCTTGCAGGCAGTGGAAATTGCTCCCTTTCACCTCTTTTCTCTCTCCCCCTTGCCATAATACTTGCTTCTCAGTTGCTGCAAACTTGGACTGATGCTGCCTGACATGACATGGAGAAACTGACCTTGGAAACCGATGGGGGATGCGCTCAGGGAATGGAGGCAAACGCCAGGGCACGTTGTGTGTGAGGCTGTTAGAACAGACTTTACGGAGTAATAAAGCACGTGTGGTTTGTGTTTGGTCTGGAAATCCAGCCCCATCTGTTCCAGATTTTTTCAGTTGTGTTTATAGCAAGTAGCTACTGTGCTGTTGTGGGGAGGAAATAAGATAAATAAAAATTGGGGTGTGCCTTCACAACCATTTCAAAAAGGCAAAAGCATCCATGAAATAAGTTCCCTTCTGTTGCGTTAGGAAAGATGTGTAGTCTTGAATAATTTAATGAAAATCGACGCTTTCGGTAAAGGATTCCATGTGCATGCCTGGGTGCTGGCTTTGTGTGTTCTCTTGGCAAGAAGCACATCCTAACCTTCGCACAGAGCAGCAGCTGCATGTGAAATGGTACCTTCCTTAAGCCAGGGAAATTTGTTCTTCAAATCCTCTGTATTCTGGGTCTCTGGCAGATAATGCAGTCAGAAACAGCCTGTGGGAAGGGGAGGTGGCCTTCTTTCGAGTGTCTGAATTGGAACTAAACTTAGGAGGTGATGCTTGTCTTTGTTTTGGGGTATGGTGCTGTATTATTTGCTGACATCCAGTGATCCAAGTGAAAAATAGGTCTTTCCATATGCTTAGTTAGTGGCTTTGAATCTGGCCTACTTCACTTTGTTCTTTATCTGTGACATGTTTCAGACTCCTTCACAGGACCTGAACTGCAGACTAAAAGCTGAGAATGTGTTCAATAGTGTGTTAGTAAAGGTGTTTGTGGTGGAGGAAGATTTGGCAAAGATGAGAATGCCTGCTCTGCTGCTGCTTTCAGAAAACCAAGGCCTGGGTACTTTATTTTGTGGCTGATTTTCATTGTTTGTTGTTGTTCAGGTCTGTGTTGACGCACATGGTAGATAACCTGAGACATTCTAATTTCTTGGTATTCACCTGTTCAGATTTTGTACTCTCCTGAATTTGAATGTGCACTTAAAAAACTCTATTGCTGCTACTGCATGTAGGAGATACTGCAGGCCAGGTTGGACCAGGCTTGAAGCAACCTGGTCTGCTGGAATGTGTCCCTGCCCATGGGAAGGGGTTGGAACTAAATGAGCTTTAAGATCCCCTTCAACCCAAACTAGTCTGGGGTTCTGTGCTAATAAGTGGAAGCAGTAGAGATGTGAAGAAGTTTTGAAGGCTTTCTGTACTGAGTTTGTCCCTATTCCATCTAGCGAATATAAGGAAAATGTCTTCATTTTTTATCATTATCCATATATGCCTGTTTCTTGCCATTGATAGGAAACGAGGTTACCGGCTTGGTCTCCCGTGTATTAAGATGGAAAGCTTCCACAGTGACTGTCCAGCAATGAGCAGCAAATGTGTGCTTAGCCTCTAAGGAGATTATTTAATATAGCTACATTTTTTCCTTTGTTATTTTATCATCTTTTTATTTGCTTGTCAAAACTTAATTTGGAACTGAACCTTGGAAAGCTTGCAGGGTCTTATTCTGTGTGTGAAATACAGCATCAGGAGTTCTGGGCAGTGTCCCAGGAGGACTTTTATGGTGTAGAATTAGGAGTCTCTGCTATACAGAGAAGCAGATAAGAGGTGGAGGGGGAAGGAGACAGCTGCTAACACCCGTCCCTGAGTGAATGAATGAACGGGTGACACACAGAAATGACTGCTGTGATGGTCTGACTTGCTATCGCTCAGTCTCTGGATAATCCTCGTATGTCAGATTTCTGTAAGGCCAGCATGTGACACAGAGCTCGCCTCCCAGCACACAAGTGTGCTTTGCTGGTATTAAGAGGCTGGCTGGAGCCATTCGAATGCGTGTGTGTCTGTGCAGTGTGTGTGCTCGCTTGTGAGCGGGGTTCTGCTGTCGTGGTCTTCTAGAAGAGCTTAACAGAGAAACTGGAATCCCACAGACTCTTGGCTATTGCATAGACAGCCCCAGAGTTGCCTGTGTGTCTACATTATTTTTAGGGAAAAAAAAAAAAGGAAAAAGGAGAGAGGAAAAAAAAAGAAAAAGAAACAAGAAGCAGGAAAAACCGCAGAGATTTGTAGCCAGGATTACCTTTTCCCACCTGTCACCACTGATGTCCTCTCAAGGTTAGAATTCGAGCTACGTGAGGCCAGCTTAAACCAAACGGCATCTGAAAGGAGCTCTATGAAGGAACCGCAGGCTCTGGAAGAACAGCAGTGCCCACAGGAACATGAACAACAGCTTGCAAGTTAACCTGCCCAGGACCTGGGCTGGTTCAAACAGCTCGCTCCAGGAGAAGTCTGAGCATTCCTTTTTTCTTTTCTATTACTACAGGATGGAGGACGAGGCAGTACTGGATAGAGGGGCTTCCTTCCTTAAACATGTATGTGATGAAGAAGAAGTGGAAGGTAAGAGACCTTGGACCACTTACAGTTTTGCATATAAGATGGGCATGGTTGGATAGCAGGTAAGAAGGGTGCCTTTGTTCTGTCGAGTAATTAATCTTAAAATTGAAACATCAGTAAGTTTTATTGGGGTAAAACTGACCTGTTAAAGAAGAGGATTTTGTTAAAGAAATCCTCTTTTTCAGCTGAGGAGTGCATGTCATTGTTGGTTGCTGGCACACGTTTCCACTCCCCAGAGAGCTCCTTTTGCAGTGCCTTCCACAGTGGCTGTGAAATATCAGAGCTGTTTGTGTTTCTTTCCTCTATGAAAATAGTTTTTATAGTATTGCAGATCACCTGGAAGTGCTGGAATACAGTGGCAGATGTCACAAAGGGAGATGTGAACTGAAAAAAACAGCTGAATTTGTACAGAGTGTCGGGGTGGGCATAAGGCAGCAAGCGGATGTTTGCCTGGGTGATGCTTTTAGCTTACGATGCATAAAGAGAAGTTTTTTTGCTTTGAAAAGGAACTTTTTAACAGAGCACAGTTTCCTCGCTTTTTAGGAAATCCTTTGAAAGTGCTTTATTTTCTCTCCAACTAAAAATGTTGTGACATCCCAAAGGTGGAAGCAGTTTCAAGAAATTTAAGGTTGTTTGTGGGAAATAATTAAGATGATGGGAATGAATTATTTCCAGCAGATTCTCTTTTTCTTGGTTTCTGTGAATCAGTTGACTGTGTGCTTGATAAACTCATGGGGGAGAAGGAGGAAAGGATGGTGGGTGCCTAGAAGGGAAAGGAGGCCAGTGCTAGCATTCCCTTAAGTCTATTATTTTGTTTTAATTTCTTTATTTATTAACAAATGCCTGTGGCTTTTTGGTTTAAAATGTTTTGAAAGCTGTAGGGTTACAACTATGTCATTGTCACTGGCAATGGACAGTGAAGGATCAAGAAGTATGAAAGAAAATTTTCTCTGAAACGATGAATTAGAGTACATCCAGCAAATGAAACCAGTCCTTTCCATCAAAAGGCCTGAGTTTTCTTCCTCTCTTGGAGGTGCACAGATTATTCTATTGAGTAATCTGTGCTCAGTGGCTGTAAATCTTTGTGTTGGGTTTAATTAGGCCATTTGCTGTCTGCAGGGTCAGAATGACAGGGGGTTTGTATTAGCCTTTTGCTCATAGAATAATTGACACTTTGGCACAGCAGAGACACTTGAGATGGGAAAGAGGAAGAGTATTTCTCCCATTTTACTGCCTTAAACATAGCCACATGCTGCTGGGGTGTGTATTGCCCCTGAGTGAAACTCCTGGAATATGACACAACTGGTTTGTGAGGAGTAGTGTGGGAGTGTCCATTGATCTGTCTGCAGGTGCCTGAAAAAGGTTGTGGTTAATACTTAAATTCACATTTGTAAATGTGGTGTGTTTATCTCCATGTTCTGATGTAGATATCCTCATTTGATGTAGTTGGGCTAACAGACCAGCTGCAGTGCAGGAGAAGGAGAAGAGGAGGTGAAGCAAGTATTTCTAGTTACATACAGCAGCCTCTCAGAACTGTAGCTGCTTGTCTGTGCCTTCAGAGAGACTGGGAGCTGTGTAACCAGCTAATTCCCTCGCGTGTGCTGAAGGCAGTGCCTTGATTCTCATCAGGCTTCTGCGAGTAACCTGGCTACATCCCAAAAGGTGCTGCTGGCTGTGGTGGGGCTAGGGTTTATGCTGTAGCATCTATCAGGGTCACCATGAATGCATGGTGCATGTATGGTGAGTTGCTGCTCAGCCACTCCACTCCTCTGGACTAGGACAGAATTCATAGCATACCTGGCAAATATGGGACATTACCACAGTGCCAAGTAATCATTAAAGGCACTTTGAATAGATCTCATTTGCCTTAGAGGGGCAAATTTCCAACCTAATGGTTCCAGAATTTGAGGCATGCCTCAGCTACATCTACCTTTCTGCACAGATACGTACCCTGTATGTAAGTACACTTAATTAATGTATGTGTGTACCTAATGTGCACACATGCACCCCATGTACAGTCATAGTCTGCCTGTGTAGAGTGAATTATAGACTTACAGAATGGTTTGGGCTTGAAGGGATCTTTTAAAGACCATCTAGTCCAACCCCCTGCCACATGCAGGGATGCCTTCCACTTAGACCAGGTTGCTCCAAGCCCTGTCCAGCCTGGCCTTGAACACTGCCAGGGATGGGGCAGGCACAGCTTCTCTGGGCACCCTGTGCCAGGGCCTCAGCACCCTCACAGGGAACAACTTCTTACCCAATCTGAATCTACTCTCTTTCAGTTTAAGGTCTAACGGAAAGGTTAAAAAGATCCAGTGAAGGGGCTAAATGAAATACTGGGTAGAAGACCTTTGGCTGACACTCGGTGCAGATGCTTTTAAGTCTCTCTGCTAGATTTCTGCACTGCAAGTGGAGAGGGTTCAAGTCGAACAGAGTTTGTCTAGAGAGACCTGAAGGTGTTAGCGGAGCTAAGTGCTCTCCATTTCTTCAGCTACTTTCCTGTCATAGTTATAAATTGCTTTTCTAAAAGGCTTTGAGTAGAAGAAGGTAACAGTGAGTGGAACTGTTACCTCCAGATGTATTTTATTTTTCTGATAGTTTTTATTTTTAGCCTACTTTCAGGAGGAAACAGCAGACAAGAGGAGTCTCTCTCGACCCCTCTTTCCATTCCTCTTACAATAAGTTTTTGCACCTAAAAGTCAATATTGATCAAATTTCTCAGGAGGGCTCTTTAAAGCTACTCTTAATTTCAGTAAGTTTGTAGGAAAACGAGAAACTGAGCAGAAAGGGGAGATAATTTTATTTTCCCTCTCTCTACTAAGGAAAGATGTTGCTTTTTGAAGAGGGGGAAAACCAGGCATTTCTGGTCAGTAGGATGCTGGGACATTTTCAGCATGGGGCAGTTATCATTCATGCCATTGCTGAGTAAATGTAATATTAGTGGAAACCATACATACCTGACAAAGGTATGTCCTTGGGAGGGCTCAGCTGATTAATTCAGTGCATGTTACTTATAAAATCACAGAATGCTTTGTGTTGGAAGGGACCTGAAAGATCATCTTAGTTCCAGCCCCCTGCCACTGGCCATCATTGATGTTGAACTTAAGTACCCAGAAATGTGACTTGCTGATGATACAAGGGATCTGCCAGGGTATGGTTTGGAGTGTGGAAGGAGTGCAAGCAGGAAAATGTAGGTTTTCTTGGGAGACATAGGAAGAGGCACTGCCCTAAGCTGAACCTCCTGTGCAAGAAATCCATTCCCATTCATTTTGAGCACTGCATGTTCCTTTCCTTGAAGGTAACGATGTCTTGCTGTAATGCCAATGTGAGTAGTGCTGGTATGTGTGACATAAACAGATTACTTAATAACCAATTTTGCAAGAGGGGAAAAGTAAAGCTCCACCTTATCCTTTGAGATAAGGTATTCTTGGCTCTTTAAGCCCAACTTCCCCCGGGCTTGCTACTGCCCTGACTTCACAGCAGGGTGGAGGATGCTTGATTTCAAGTCTGACAACTCCACTGCTGGAAGGCCCCAGGAGCATTTTGACTGCTTGTATTAGGAGTTGGGTACCAGCATTCTTCTCAGGTGTTTTGTCAGATGATTTGCAAAGTAAAGGTCTAGAGCGTCTCTTACATGTTGCTGTTGTAGGAGTGAATTCAGGAAACAATGCTGTTGCATGGGACACTTTTTCACGTGTCCTGTTATGAGCTTTACTACATAGAGAACCTAAATCAGGGATTTTATAATGACTTTCTGTAACTACTTCTTCAATCCTAGCTGACTGCTCCCCATGTGTTCCTCCTCCTCGGTTTCTATTCTTGACCCTGTTGTGTCATTACTATTTGCTGGTAGAAGGCTGTGTGATGCCATAAGCCTGAGATGATTACTTGGTGCTTGGATCAATGAAGAGAGAGGTTGAAAGGGTCAGGAGAACTGTGAAAATCTTTACCTTTATTAACAGCCAGCAGAAGGTAGGAGAAATGAGCCCTATTTACCCAGTTCCTTTGTTTTCTTTTTCTTCTTGCCTCTCATCCCCACCCTCATTTTTTGATCCCTGACTGTGGGCAGACCTTTGCCATTGTCATAAATAGCAAGAAGACCTGTTTCATGTCAGTTAGAGTTTTTAATTGCTTCTGAAAGAAATATGATTTAAAAATAAATCAGACAAAGTCTTAGCACAGAATGTACTTTATTAATATTCTTTGGTACCTTTAATTTATATGAGGAGATAGAGTAGTCTGTGTTTTGCTTTAGTAAAACTGAGTCGGGCTTTGCTGATGCAAAAGCAAGACACTGAGGACTTGAGCACTGCCTTTTTGCTCTCTTTCCAAATGGCAGCTGGCACAGTTTGGGAATGGCAGGCACGGATTGGAACCTAAATGCTGCCCCATGCAGCTAGTAAAACCAAAATGGGTGGTTTGGATCTTCTCAGTTTTAAATTGTCTGGATGAAAGGCTTCAAATTAGCTGCTCCCCAGCTTTAATTCTCCCTGACGTTCGGCAGGACACTGAAAAGTGTTGTTAACTGGTTTGCCATAGATGAAAAGGACTCTGTGACTTCACTGCAGACTTTTGAGAGTATGGTAAATCCCTGTGGAAAAGTTGGGAGAGGTTTTCGAGTGTTAATAAAATCAGTAGTACAAATGCTGTGAGGTCTGGGAAATATAAATCACTCATGAAGTGGTTCATACATTTTTGTTGTTAGGATAATATCACTTTTGGGTCACTGGTTAGCTTAATGCTAGTAAATCATAGGGTCACAGACTGGTTCGGGACCAAAGGGAAAGGGACCTTAAAGCTCATCCAGTTCCGACCCCCTGCCATGGGCAGGGACACCTTCCACTGGACCAGGTTGCTCCAAGCCCCGTCCAATGTGGCCTTGAACAGTGCCAGGGATGGGGCAGCCACAGCTTCTCTGGGCAACCTGTGCCAGCGCCTCACCATTCTCACAGGAAGAACTTCTGCCTAATGTCTGATCTAAATTTCCCTTGTGTAAGTTTGAG